ATTAAACTAAAAGCGTATCAAAATACACCAATAAACCATTGAAAATTAATTGCGCGTAATTGTGAAATCAAGTTGCTGGATCACAAAGATTACAACAGATATTCACTTGGAATTCCGCATTTACCTGTAAAAAACACGAAAAAGACGTTTTAATGCTACATTTTTAACAGCATTTAGGTGCAGAATATAAACTCTGAACTTTATTTGAGATTACATTCTCATCATCTTAACAAAGGCATCTGGTGAATTAACTATATCCGTTGTTTAGGTAGTCTATATATAGTCGAAAAAATTGAAATATTTGGGGTGAGTGAACGCTGAGAACTATGACGCAATCCAGACAAATTGATGCCTTGAACTGCGTATGTCATTTTAATTTGTATAATCATACATTGATGACCACCATTTAGATCCGGGGAAGAAAACGAAAATTGTCGACCAGTAAATTTCTGTAGTGAATTTCAGAAGGCGTTTTACTGAATACTCGAGGCTCAGGGGCAGTGATTGATTAGAAAATCTCCCAGAACGATCAAATACAAAGTACAAAAGTATGACAGAGAATGACCCGAAATCTGGCTTAGAGGGTATATCTCAAAATTGGGACGATGGCGACGGAGGTAAATAAGTCCTCGGCGACCTTAAACGTGGTCGTAAACACTGATGCTTTGCTTATCAAAACGCTAGAATGCTGAGCGGGATAAAAATGACTGTCATTTTCCAAACATAGAATTCTAAGTAAAAATGCATGTTTACATCTATTACCTAGTTTCCTTTTGTAGCTCCAACTGATGTTCGCGTTTAGACATTATAACGCCCTCGATCCAAGAGAGAAAAAACTTTCTTTTCGTATACCAGTTGTAGCGTTCGGTAACGGCCATTGTTTCTTGGAACCTCAGGTGTGCTAATCGCCTCCAACTCTGAAAAATGTATCTGGAGACCTAAATAGTGGTAGTTACTTTGGGATACTTGGATGAACATTCAAAAATGAAAATAAAAATACATTAAATTTTGAAAGCAAAAAGCGTTTTATTTTGACGGAAACTCAAACAATTGATAATTCCTTCGGAAAAACGTTTAAAATGCATCAAACACTAAAGGCTTGAGGCAAGCTTTTATGAATAAACTGCTAAAATGCACCGTTGAAAACAGTCTGACTTACGCAGTTTCACGTATCATTTCGAAAAATAATCATAAGTAGTTGGTAATTTGTTTAGTTCAAACATAGGGCAAAACAAAGATGTAAAAGAAAAAAATTCCCTTTGAACTATGTTTTTGTTCTGAATCTGGCATATGTTTTTTCAGCTTACCTGCTTAGAAAACGCTCAGCCATAAAATTTCGCCAAATAACGGTGTTGTATAAATCACAAACCTCGGTGTTAATCTCAAAACTACAAATGAGTCTCTTTCATACCGAAGATTAGTGTGCGCAAAGCCTTTAGAAACCCAGACGTCAAGACCATGAGGGATTACATGTTTTATACACATTCCTGTAAATGCAAAAACACGAGGTTTGCCACTAGTATTTCGTTAAAGGTCGTTCGAATTTTATATGTCGCATATATACCGTGAAGCTCAAGAGTTAAAACCTAAGAGATGTGGTTTGAACAAAACTTGATATAATCAAAAATTTGTTCTTGCCAACAATGCACATACATGTCCGAATTGGGAGCGTCGTCCGTCATAGTTAAATATACGCTTAGACAACGATATGCTTCGACCCTCTTGTCGGCAAAAATTGACATTTAGTACGGGGTTTGATAAGAATACACGAATGGTATGAAAAACGTCACTGCATAAGCCAAAACAATATAAATTACCATTTTGTTCCTTTTGTGATCCCATTTTTCTCTAAAGAGTCTTATTATGATTTCCTGAGCGGACGTGTGCGGTCTTGCAACGTTCTTTCTCGCGGTTTGAGATTTAGTGGACTCGGGGCGGAAACATTCTGAAATTGACGCGCAGCTTGCAAGGGGTGATGTCCTGGTCGTATGTGGAGTTGTTTTGCGAGATATCGATGGCATCACAAAATTGCCTTTATAACTGCTGCAGGTAGTAAAAGATTGTGCATGACGCGTTGACACTGCTACACTTGTGTTAGATTTGTATAAAATATCATTTTACCTATTCGACATGTACACAAATCTTAAATATCTTGTCACGTGATTTCCGACTTGATAATTTCCAAGTAAAGTGCCCAGCTCGAATAGTAAGCCGTTAGCGTGGTTGGGTGTTATGCTTGCCGTACGACTGAATTATCTTTAAAGTTAGGCTGGTTTAAGTTGTTTAAAAGCATTAAATCTATCCAAGATGACTTTTGTCAATAAACCTATGTGAAATTTAAACTAAAGCATTGGTGGTGTCCTAAAAAGGCTATTAGTTAACATTTACTATAACGGTTGCTCAGAAATGGAAAAAACGCACCTTCCCGATATTTTCCTTTTTGAACTATTGCGCTTAACACCCCCTCGAGCCACTGAGAGTTGAGTTTGGAAAAGTTCTGGATGCCTTCTTTCGTCTTGATCTTTTTGATTTACCTTCAAACATAAATAAAAAATCATAAAGGAAAGCACATTAGCTTAATGGAGAGCTGGCAACTCACCTTATGTTTTCTTCTAAACTGTTCCTTTCGTTGCTCGCCCATATTTACTCCGTTTTTGACCTGACTTTTCAGTGTTGCTTCTTTTTGTTCTCGTTGAAACCCATTAGTCCCGCAATGCCTTTGTAACTTTTTGGCTGAGGACGTCGAGCAAATACTTTTAACTTCGCGATCAATTTTCCGCAATGCTTCAGTTTCAACCAGTTGACAGTCGCGAATTCTAGCAAGAAAATTTTCTACTTGATTCTCCTACAATAAAGACAGATTACGACTGGTATCCATGCGCACAAAACTGCAAGCCAAAAGTCCGTAATTTGAAACTAAAGAATCAATTGGCTTCTGTACGACGGCGTCTTGTGTGCAAACAAAACAAATCTCACTTTATGTGAACCATAATGACATTAAAAAATCGGGACATCCAACGTATCCCCAACAAGCATTATTAGTTGGACCACTAAAATGTGTTCTATCTAAGGTCTTAGTGACATTCTGACAACATGGGATGCGCACTGAGCCGCAGTGGACGCTTTACTTCTTATTAAACTCAGAAGACATAGGCGATGCCTCCCCTGCCAGCACATTGCCCCTTCATAGGCGGGGCTGGAGGGGGCTGGGTGGGGCCAGAGCCCCGCCTGCCAGCACATGGCTCCTTCATAGGCGGGGCTGGAGGGGGCTGGGCGGGGCCAGAGCCCCCTCTGGATTGAAGCCTTTTGAAGCGTATTTGCATCGAAAGATATGTTCCAAAAGCACCACTTATTGTACCTTCTTTGGAATTTAAAGGAGCTAATTTATCAAAATTGGCTTATAAACCATGGAGAAAGCATCCGTTTACGCCCACTGAATGTAGCTGCGGATGAGCACAATATATTGAGGTTTTGTTTAAGTCCCTCATTGCTTAAACTCTTATTTGTCCACCGGTTTACAATCTGTGTGTGTTATTAATTCGTATATTTGACAATGGGGACGATATTTTAAAGTGGTGCCAAAAGTGGGCTGAAATGTGGCGTCCCCTGCGCATTTTTTTTCGCTGGCGGGGCTAGGCGGGGCTATCGCGTTGCATGTCCCGCCACAGCCCCCTCCACAGCCCCGCCTAGCCCCCTCAAAGCCCCCTCTAGCCCCGCCATTATTGAGGGGGCCAGGCGGGGCTAGGCGGGGCTGGTGCTGGCAGGGTCTATAGTCGTATGTTTTGGGTCCAGCCAAAACTCAGTGCCCCCTAGTCAACACACTGGCATTAAGGGGGCGTTTAATGTTTAAAGATTTCAAATACTGTTAAAATAGCGGCTTTGCAGTTATCTTGATAGTGCATGATTTTAATTGTTGCCAACCAGGATTAATCATGGCCATGAGAATGGGAAAAATGACTCACTATTGGCTCCTCTAAGAAAATGTTGGTCTTTAATAATGTTGTTTTGTTGACCAATTCAGAATTCTTCTCCAATCTGGTTAAGGCCACCGATGAGGCAACGTCTTCTATGATGATCGCATCCTCGTCCGCTTCATAATTCCATTCCGATTCACTGTCCGAAAATTGCTCACTATTTGAAGACTGACGGAGCAGATCATCGGTTATATCGAAATCTGCAAAAATATGGGAAAAAATAAAGTATTTATCAACTGTACTTATTTGTGAACTACACTGGAAGATGGACATTAAGATACTGCGCACTGTGTTGACGCTTTTGTAATTTGCGCGATTTTAAAAATCCTTATAAGGAGCGAGATTGAGTACACAGAAAATCCCTAGGTCTGAAAACGAGGGTATCAAGCTCCCGGACCCTGGATCCATGGACTCCTGAATAGTATAACACCTTTCTTCGGTGTTCTTTGGGGTGGAAGGTCTAAACTAGATACCATGATGCGTGGCAAATGTTAAAAGTGGCAGGTCTATATTCGTTTGTCCAATTTATGTTCGCATTTTCTTGTGCATCGGAGTTTTAGTGTATTCTTGTTTGGATATGCTAATACACACACAATAACCACCTTCCACTTGCGACAACCTGTGTTCTGATCCTGCTGCTATCAGGTGTTAGCGGTCTGTAAATTACTTTTATGCGCTCGAATTCGTTTTAGTCAAGTTCGTTAAAAATCTGGCAATTACTTCTCAATCATTTCCTCCTGGGTATAGATCCATCCAAGCAACACATGCTGCTAAAAAGGAACAACTCGGAACCTTTTGGAATTATCGAAAAGGATCCTTACTTTCAGGAGATCTGGTTAGACAAGTTGCCTATTCATATGCAACGGGTTTTAGACATGCAGGGCATAAGCTATTCATTAGAAAAAACTGGCCAAACACGCAGATAGCATAACGGAATGCTACCCTATTTTTTCATATTTTTTCTAATATCCAGCAGACATCGGTTGCAAACAACCTCTCTGACAGATTTTCCACCTCTGATCCCCAAGGAATTTCCAAGCCAGTAAGCTAAACTGCTTGTCCAGAGTCGTCACCCTGCTGCTGTGTCTTCAAGGTCTCACAAGTGCAGCAAACTAACCGCATTCCAGCGACTACGAAGACTTAAAGGACACGGTAATCTATTGCGCACCAAAGTTAATACCATGTGTTCCGCCATTAATAGTCTTCCTTCAACACGAAACCAATCATATTGACGTCGGCTTTCCCGGTTACACGGAAGGTAGTCACAACAGTTTTGCTGGTACGATCACACCTACGCCCCGAAAGCACAAGCCTGCACTCTACAGTCCACATCCAACCAGCCGACCCGACAGTCATACCACAAAACCAGTCACTAATGACAATAATTACTGCGACCCAGTCGTCAATTCTACATCACTGACAAGTCCAGCGGTCAGCATTTTCTTGTCCATACCTATACCGAGGTTAGCGATATCTCCCTTCCTAGACATAATTTCCCCCAACATTCGCAATTGTCTTTGCCGTCTACGAACAGTACCACTATAAATATGCTCGGACAATGATCTGTGACTGTAGAACATAGGCTCCGGCGACGTTTTCAGTGGATTCTCATCCACGCTGAAGTTCAGTCATCTATTACCGTAGTGATTCCCCATCATCCTTTAGCTTCGCAGTCGACTTGAGACCTTACAAACTCATGCATACCACAGTCCAAATTTTATGTTTGGTACTGTCATCTCTGAAACTTCGGTTGACATTCCCTTGACTATCTCAAGTCCAGCGTTTGCTGAAATTTTGAAAGGCTACCTGTCGTCTACTTAACCTTGCCGATTCCCCGAAGAAAACCGGCAAGCGGTCAAGCAGTACATTGTCCTCACAGGGCAACTCGTGCACGCTCATCCTTACCGACCTCATTCCGAAAATCTCCAGATAGTGAGGAATGTTTTTAAACGTGGGATGAGTTTGGGAATTATTAACCCCTCTTCCAGCCCATCGGCCTCTCCACTACATATGGTACCCAAGAGATCGTCGATGATTGGAGATAATACGACGCTTATCGTACTTTTAAGAGAAATACTGTTCCAGATGGGTATTAAATCCCCAAATTCACAAGTTCTCTCACACACTGGTTGAAAACACAATTCTTTCTAAGACAGACCTTGTGAGAGCATATCACCTGATACCGTTCGCGGAAGTGGACATTTCCAAGACCGTCTTTACGACACCTAATGGTCTGTTCGGATTCATTCGCAAAAACTTTCGGTTGGGGCAGCGCGGCTCAATCGTTTCAACATTTCATCGATGACGTCTTGCTGGGCGATCCGCCTACACTCGTTTATACTGACGACATGCTCATCGCCAACTCTTCGCTAGTGAAATATGCGTCGAAATCGTGCCAACTTTTTGACCATTTTCAGCGACATGGTCCGCGACTAAGCGTGGATAAATGTCTTTTTGACTCTGGTGGTACAGTAGTATATTTGGGGTAATAAACAACGACATTAAGGAGCCTGGTGAAGACGGGACATACAACCTTATAGTTACCCCCTACCTACCCTCATTACTCGAGGAACCACTTCACAAACCACAGCTAGAGCCGAACTACTCTTGTTAAAACCTGCCAAATCGCCTGGCCTGGATAGAATTCTCGCATCAGCACTTCGTTAACCTGCTAATGAACTGTACACAACATTGTCTGCGATATTTTAAAAGTCCTTTGAAGAAGGCGAGCTCCCGGAAGAATGGAAGTGTGCACTCATCACTCCGATCCATAAAGGAGGCTCAAGACTTGACTGCGGTAATTAACGTCCCGTCAGTCTTACTTGCATTGCGTGTAAAATAATGGAACACATTAACAAAGGACACTTGATTAAATACCTGGAAAAAAAACAAAATATTGGGTAGTGCCTAACATGGCTTTCGTCCAAGACTCTCCTGCCTAACAAGTGTTCTGTATCGGCACGAGAAATATACAACTGCCACCGACAAAGGTTAGGTAGTAGGTCGGTATAGGTCAGTATATTTCAGGGGTAATAGGCGGTGCACTTAAAAACCTGACTGAAAATCAAAATGTAGTATTTAACCTTACATAAATACGCTACTCAAATGTTGTCAGTAATAAAACACACAAGACAATATTTTCGATTGCAGGCCGAAACTCGATAACACTCAGCAGTAAGGGATAAAGGTAAAATGAAGTGACAATTATCCACAGTAGCGGTAGGTGTATGCAAGGCGTTGGTTTGGTAGCATACAGCTGTTCTGTCCAGACAAGCGGCACTTTTCGAGCAAACATGCATCTAGCCTTTGTTTAAATGTCTCCGTGGAATCCGCCATCATCAAGTCCTCGGAAATCCCTTTCCAGGCACCGACGACTAGCTGTGAAAAACAGTATCTGCGAACGTCCAGGTGGCATCGAGATCCTTGAAGTATAAGAAAGATCCCACACAGGTTTGTTGTTGCGACCAAGGTAAAGAAATCACCGAGGTGTAGACCACAGTCCCGGTTCCTCAAAATCCGGTACGTCTGTATGAGATTTCCTTGAATCTGCCTGTACTGAAGATGAAATAAGTTGAGTTCGCCAAGTCTGCAGTTGTAAGGAAAAGTCGTGGAGCCTTTCACAATCTTCGTCGCCCACCTCTGAACTCTTTCCTGCAACTTATAATCTTTGTTCAGCCCGGGGCGTCACGCTTGGATTCCATATTCCAGATGCGAACAATTGAACGCTCCGTATACTTTTTCAAATAACCCTGTCTATATCTATGAATGCTCGTTCAATGGCGAAGAGAACACCGGTATTCTTTTTGGTCGTCCTAACGCATCGAGTGGAAGGCTTATGATTTGACAAAATGTTGATTCGAAGATCTTTTTGTTCGGTCACATTTGAAAGGCACCTTCCTCCACGCAATTAATGGATATCCTCTACATCAGCTCTTCCGTTCGTGTTGAGTCGCAATGCGATACACTTCCAAAAGTTATACTTTATCAGCCATTTGTCAGACCACTCGCATAGAAGGTTCAGTCCCTCTTACAGGGCCCGTTCATCATTTCCCCGTTGTTCGCGCGCCAGAACTTGGAGTCATCAGCAAACATGACTCCATTGGAGTCCAGTCCGTTCATACAGTCGTTGACATAAATTAAAAATAGTACTGATCCGAGTACAGAGCCCTGGGGAAATCCACTCACAACTGACACTGGCGTTGACTTCGTACAGCCAATGCACACACACTGTGATCGGCCGGTCAGAAAGTCCTTTACTCAGTTTAATAGGTTCCCCATTATCCCCGACTCTCGGACCTTGTAATGTAGCCGGTTGTGTGGAACACTATCAAAGGCTTTCATGAAATCGATTTTAACGATATCGATCCTCGTTCCGTCGTCTAACGAGCGGGACCACTGCTTCATTGAATAGAGTATATTTGTTAAGAAGGAACGATTTCGTCGAAAACCATGTTGGGAACTAGCAATGAAATTATTTTCTTCAAGGAACTTCCTGGTGGCTTTTGTGACTATTTTCGCCACGAATTTGCAACAAATGCACGTTAGGCTCACCGGCCGATAATTGCTTGCACTTGTTCTAACTCCACCCTTGTGAATAGGGTATATATTCGCCACTATCCAATCAGAGGGGGGAATTCCTCGGTTAAAGGTCGACTTGAAAATATGCAAAAACGGCCTGGCAAGTTCGCAAAAGAACTACTTCGGAACTTTTGCCGATATTTGGTATGGACTCGGAGGCTTAAACACCTTAAGGGCTAAAAGTTCCTTTAGTTCGTCAGCTGTTGTAGTAGAAAACCCAGCCTCGTCGAATTCCGTTTCATCGGCGAAAATAGATGCGAAGAATCGGCTAAGATGCTCTGCCTTGGCGTTATTTTTGATGATATTTTCGAAGATACTATAAAGATCCCCAAATTCACAAAGTCCCAACGGTCAAATTTCGACTCCATATTATATGCCACTATCTGGAATGTTCTTCCAAGTCCTATCCAGGAAAAGTCAAACTCAAATCGAGTTTAAAATAAAAACTAAGAAATTCCTTTCAAATAACAATACACATTTATTTTAAAATAAGATCGGCCACTTTTCAAGTCAATTCTTTGATATAGAATTTGGTCGGAAAGGGCTCTGATGATGCCAGCCGCTTGAATAATACCCGAACATGGCACTAGAACAATCAAATTTATGGAAGACAGCATCATTGATAAACATAGAACAGATAGTGATATTCTTTCTTTCCTCCTTTTATCGTTTCTATCAGCTATGTCACCTGACAC